TTTTCCTCCTCTAGTTCTGCCTCTGGAACTCTAGCTGGTCCCTCGCGTCGCTGAGCTCTGGGGGCTCGAACTTCTTCCCCCGTAGGCCCTCGCAGAAGGCGATCGCTTCCTCCAAGGCGCCTATGTCCTCGGCGCGGATGCGGAGAAGGACGATGCACAGCAAAGGGAGGAGAAGGAGGAAGATGGAAGAGCAGGACGAGGAGGACATGGAAGACGAGCATGAGGAGAAGCGAAGGGGATGAGGAGCAGGTGTGAGAGGACGGGGAGGGGCTAGGAAAGGGGGTGAGGCAAGTACTCCTTGGCGCGGGTGGCGTTCGTCAGCTTCTCGAGGGCCTCCGCTTCCTTCTGTTGCCGTTCCCTCAGAATGCTGTGGCGCATCTTCTCCAGCGCAGTCTTCACCTTGAGTCTCCCCCCCGTGGAATCGCAACACAACGCTGGCGATAACGAGAAATGCAGAATGGCCCCGGACTCGAGAGGTGCGGGGGTGAGGATGACGTGGAGGGAGTGTTGATTGCCCCTGCTGCTACTTCTCATCCTTCACATCATCCTTCCCCTCCTCTTGTAGTAACGTGCACCTCCACACCCGTGAACTCTCCTACTGCATCCACACCCTTCCCCTCCTCCTCCTCCTCCTCCTCCTCCTCCTCCTCCTCCTCCTCCTCCTCCTCCTCCTCCTCCTCCTCCTCCTCCCCCTCCCCCTCCTCCTCCTTGTTGGACAAAGCATCAGCGGAGGGGCTGTTGCGTTCCTCTGCAGCGCGAACTCGTGTAATTAACGATGGGCGCGACCAACATCCCAAACGGAGGAGCAAGAGACAGTACTTGCCTGATCTGCGGCAGTAGTGCTGGAAAGAACGTGGGACGGGCGATGGAAGCACGGCGACTAGAACGAACATCAAGAGCAAGCACGGTGTCATGAACCAGAACCACCTGCCCCGCATGTACCCCCCCCACCACCCCAGTACACACGGAACCTCACCGAGGAGAAAACGCGTTTCGTGGACGCTTGATTGGAACAAATCCCTCAACACGTCGGAACCGCCCCCCCTAAGCATTTGAAGCGCCCGGAGACCGGCCTCTCTAACCGGGCCACCCTCCTCCCCCATCATGGGGGAATACATCCCGCCCGCGAAAAGCTCGATCAAGCTCTGATAGAACCCTGCTGTAGGTGGACCTAGCTTTAATAGCATCCTAGACGGTTCGATCCATCCAACTTCTATAGAATCCGACTCTATCTGGATCCCACACTCTTTGAATCCGACTAACGCTCGACCCAGCTCTATTATAATCATACCATAGATGGATGCAACTTTCAAAGGATCTTAGTCGGGCTAGATCCAGCTCTAAAGCAGTCCCACTATAGCTAGATCGAGCTCAGGCTGAGTCGTAGCAAGGCTCGATCCAGCTCTAATGGACATCTACTGTAGCTAGATCAGGCTCAATTTGAATCCTACCAGGGCTCGATCCAGCCCTAAACGAGTCGCACTCGGGTTCAATCCAGTCTTGATGGCATTACTAAGGCTCGGTCGTCGTCGTCGTCGTCGTCGTCGTCGTCGTCGTCGTCGTCGTCGTCGTCGTCGTCGTCGTCGTCGTCGTCGCTGCCCGACGACGCTGGCGCAGGCGCCGGCGCTCGCCGTCGTCGAATGCCACTGGGGAAGGGCCGCCCCCCACCCAATTCGAACCCCCCCCCAAACCACCTTGCCATTCCGGCGAGGAGGAGGAGGAGGAGGAGGAATAGGAGGAGGAGGAGGAAAAGGAGGAGGAGGAATATGAGGAGGAGGAAAAGGAGGAGAAGGAGGAGGAGGAGGAGGAGGAGGAGGAGGACCCCCCCCAGGGTTCGAACCCGCTCCTTCCTGGAGGCCACCACCACCCGGTTCGGACCCACCCCTTGCGCAACTCCGCGGGGGGAGCCCGTCCCCCCTCGTGTCAAGCCTTTCCGAGCGTCCACAGAACGCGCGCTCTTTCTCACCAAGGCTGAGTTCCACACCCCAGGATACGAGGCACTGCTTCCAGCGGCGCCGTGCGCAACGACACAGAGCTGTGCATAGTCTGCTCATAGTGGCTGGCGCTCGGACGCTGCTGGGAACTCTGACACGACATGTGTGATTGCAGAATGTGCCACCCGTTACACTTGTGGAAGACGGCCTCCGCCACCACCAAGGCGGACGGCATCAACCTCTTCCACTAACCTTACATCCACCACTCATCATCAATTCGACAACCTCCGCCTCCAGAGGTGTGGCGGGCGGCGGTACGCAACGATCGTGTTTCCTTTCGACCCTGCGGGCGAGGGCGGATGCCGAGTCTTGCCGTGGTACCTGTCCTTGATGTGCAAACCCCAGGGGGGGGCTCTTCCCCTTGGGCGTAAGGAGGCAGAATCTTTTCCTCCTCCTCCCCGCCTTCTCCCCTCCTCTTCCCTCGCACTTCTCCCTCTTCCCCCCTTCCCCTCCCCTTTCCCCTTCCCCACCGTTTTCCTTCCACTCCCCCTCCCTCTCTTCTCCGGCTTCCGCTCCCTTCTCTGTGTTGTCACAACATTCTCAACCGGATCTCAAACCAACGCAAGGGAGAGGATATCCAACTGACGCTTTTCCATTCTGGACATATCATTAACCAGCGGGATGGGGGAGGACATATGATAACATGGAGGGCCGAAAAGGATGACGAACACGACGGAGAATAATGATGGTCGTCGTCATTTTCGCCTTGAGGCTCATGAACACCATGGTCTTGCCGATCTTGACACCGAGGTCGAGCTCGTCAGCGGACAGAGTGGGCGTCTTTTCGGGGAGGCGGAGGTGGGGGGGAAGGAGGAGACAAAGAAACGGAGGAGGGAAACATGAGACGAGGAGAGAGGAGGGAGAGCGTATGAGGAAGGACACCGAGAGAGGAATTAGGAACAAGGGAAAAAACGAGTACATAAAGGAGGCTGAGGCACGCGGTCTGGACCTTTTGCCCAGACAAGTTGTCCAACCATTTTTGTTGCTGCACCGTGTGGAAAGTTGGCCGCATATCTGGCTCAAACTTGTTCTTGCGCCTGCGCGATCTTGGCTAATTGAAATCCCAATCAAAAACATTAGACTCAGTATTGAGACGGATGGATCTGTGGCCTCGCAATCTCACGGCATGGCCGATTGGAACAAACTGGATGGCGCGGCAAGCTAATTCAATGGCTCGCACGGTAAAGACTTGCAATGGCAGAGCTGGGTCACTCCGACCCGCCCAACCCAATCATGATTTTTACTCTTTCTGACCGGAACGCATCCGGCGCCCCCATCTTGCCAAGACAATGCTTGACATGCGCCCCCAATCCCGATGCCGAGGATCTCATCGACTTGTTCGCAGGCCGTGCAACTTGATAAACTCGCGCAATTGACAGAACTCATGATTCAATCAAATTGCGATGTAACCCGCGCGGGCCCCAAACAGTGACGTAAACGCTATGCGGTGTAAGCCACGTGGCGTGAGCTATGTCGTGTGAGCTGTGTGGGGCGAGCTCTGAAGCTGAAGGGTACGCGCTGCAATTCACCAGCCAGGTCTTGCAATCCATGTGGTGCGAGCTGACCATGTGGTGTGAGCTGAAGGCGGAAACTTCTACGTAGGGTCGCACTGGGGTAATATGATTTGCCAGTTTGGCTAAATCTTGGAGGCTAAAATGCAGCAAAACCAGCAACACAAAAAAATCCAATAATCCTTAAGCAGAAGCGAGGCGGTGTAAGATCTGTGGTGGAATACATGCGCATGCAAACTATGCGGCGCCACGGGCGGCAACAGGCCGGCACGCCGCAAACATCCCCCGGGACACCCCGCACCGGCGGCCACGGTCGGCAGCGGGCGCCCACGGGGCCGCAGCGTGGCGAGCGGCGGCAACGGGCGGCAACGGCCCGCAACGCGCCGAGTCCTCGGGGCATCCCCGCAGGCGGCAACGGCTGACAGCGGCCCAGAGCCCGGCGAACCCCCTGGGCACCCCCACGAGCACGACTGGCAACGGGTCGTGGCGTGGCGAGCGGCAGCGGGCAACAACGGACCGCAACGCGGCCAAGCCTCGGGACACCCCCGCAGGCCACAATCTGGCCATCGCTCGGACGTCCCTCCCCTGTGCTTTTTGTCGGTTTCGTGCGTGGCTTGTTCGCCACATGATCCGGGATGCTCCTCGACGGTCCGACTCGATGGTCCTCGCCGAAGGAAAAATGCACACGTCCGAGCGACGCCAAGCCATCGGCGGCAACGGGCCATTCGGTGGCGCATCCCCGGAAGCCCACCGCAGGCGGCCGCGGGCGGCAGCCGGCGCACAAACGCGGCGAGCCGTCGGGGGGACGGCCCCGGGAAGCGGCCATTGGCAGCAGCGAGCGGCCGCGGGCCGGAGCGTGGCGGATCCTCGAGGCACCGCCAGAGGCGGCAACGGGCTGGAAGGTGGGCAGAGGCGCCGAGGCCCAGCGCGCGCGGAGTTCCTAACCAGCCTCGAACTTATCCCTATCCCTAAGATGGGCGAGCAAGAAGCAAGGACAATCTTAGGGACAGGCCCTCAGAAGCTGGGGGAATCCTTGAGATCGGCATCGAGGTGAGGTGATGTCAAACATAGGGATAGGGATATGTTTCAAGCTGGTAAAGATATCCCCGCAGGCGGCAAGGGGCGGCAGTGGGGCCCATCCTCGGGACTCCCTGAGTGCAAGCACTGCTGGAAGAAGACAGGACTCGATCTTGAAGCGGTGTCAACGTTGATTGATGTTTGGTGGTTGTGATTTCCGCGGGCGCGAGCGCGCACGCGCATTGCAACATATCGCAAACGTTCGCGGAATGAACTGAATAATGTCCACCACGTGGAGCTACTGACACATGAACGTGTCCGTGCCAGGTGTGGCCGACCATCGAAATTCACTACCTCATCTCGTGAATCGGGTACAAGTGGGGTCCCTAGGACACACGACAACACATCGGACACAACCCTGGGCCAAAGCTCAGTTGGGCTCACGGGAGACAGTAACCATGACAAAGAAATCGGGCTCGGGTGAGCTTCCCTACGGGACATCGGCCGCGGCGCGCCGTTGCGAACGGCCCCGTGGCGGGCCCGGGCGCACATTGTGGCATGCTGCTCTTGCCGCGAGCGGCCCCGCAGCTCTGTGCGGGAGGGGCTGGCGCTACGGGGGCGCCCGACCAAATAACAAATCAACGGGGGAAGGGGAGAAACAGCATCTACTGGGAGGAAGAAGGAGGAGGCGGAAGAGAAGGAGGAGGAGGAGGAGGAGGAGGAGGAGGAGGAAAACGAGGAAGAAAAGGAGGAGGGGGATGAGGGAGGAGGAGGAGGAGGAGGAGGAGGAGGGAGGAGGAGGTAGCAGCAGGAGGAGGCGGAGGAGGAGAGCCGGAGGAGAAACACCACCAGGGAAGATGGAGGATGGGGAAGGAGAGAAGGGGAGGAGCAGGCGGGCGAGGAGGGGGGGGCCGGTGACTCCAGGACCATTCCTTCTTCAGCGCCGACATGTACGCCTCCGCCTTTCGGTTCACCAGGTTCCGCCGCCCCAGAACGGGCTCGTAGTGGTGCTTGATCTCGTCACAAGTATGCTGCTCCGGGAAGCCTCGGATGGAGAACGAGAAGGAGATTCCTCCTCCTCCTCCTCCACCACTCCTCCTCCTCCTCCTCCTCCTCCTCTCCTCCTCATGCTTTCACTCTAAGGGCACAGAGCCCTCAAGAGCAAACCAGAAGAGGAGAGGGAGAGAGCGGGAGAGAACGAGAGAGAGAGAGACATATAGAGGACACATGTTTGTATCATGTCTACTCACAAAATGCGTATTGGTATGTATAGACGGGATGAGAAAAGAGAGAGAGAGAGAGACGAGGACGAGACGAAGAGGGAGAGAGAGTTGAGAGAGAGTACTCGCGACGAGAGGGAGAGAGATTCGCATTCCGCCATAGCTACGGTACGTGTGCGAGGCGAGAGGAGCCCAAACGCAGGGAGAGAGAGAGAAATAACAGAGCGGAGAGAGAGAGAGAGAGGAGCGAGAGAGCGGAAAGAGTGAGAGAGATACGATACATATGTGTGTATATATAGCACGACTTCACGACACCGCCCGATTTGCCACCGACTCCTCCTCCTCCATCCTACTTATCCACTTGACTCCTCCTCCTCCTGCTTCTCCTGCTGCTGCTGCTCCTCCTCTTTCTCCTGGGGAACTTTGGGACGCTGCGCATCCTTACTATGTGGGTCGACTATGCTGCCCAGGTTTTTACGCGCGCCCCGCCCCCGCCCTCCCCTCCAAGCCGAGTGCGGACGGGGAGATGACGAGGTGGGGCGCGCACGAGGGCTTCAGCCGCCCGTTCGACAAGACAGCCCGCAGTCATGAGTCGTCAGTAAATCCGCTCCGAGAAGGGCATGGGAATGGAGGGAGGCTGAACCGTCGAATCCCACGCCTGCAGCGTGATGTGGTCCAATCTAGACGGGATCGATGATCATAATTTCAGTCTACGGTATGCAGGGCTCACCAGGCAGATCTGTGGGTACCCTCACGTTTCTCAGCGGGTGTTCGGGATGGGACTTTGTTTGTGGACAGGAGGGCTTGCTGCTTCATCAGTGGCGCTGGCTGGATTGAATCGGGTCCTCCTTCTGCTCCTCCTCTTGCACCTCACCCTTTCCCACCTCCTCCTCTCCTCCTCCTTCTCCTTCTCCTTATCCTCCCTTACCTCATCTTTATGGAGCGGGGGAAGGGGGCTGATGATGATGATGAGGAGGAGGAGGAGGAGGAGGAGGAGGAGGAGCAGGAGCAGGAGGAGGAGGATTTTGAAGGAGAGGAGGAGTTGAGGAAAAGTTTCCCAATAACCTGCCGGAGATAGGGCCGTAAATACACGGTTAGATGGTAGATGTTATATGCACGCGGCGTGTGGAATCCGCCCCAAGGAGATGTTGGGGCCACCAGGCTGTAGGCCCGTGATTCGCAGTTTCCTGTACCAGTCGTAGGTTGTAGTTTCCAGTGTTACAGTTCTGCTTCTTGCTGGTTACTGTAACTAGTTGATTGACCGCGCGAGGGGGGGGGAGGCCCAAACAGGATTTTTAGCGTCCCCTGGGCGCGTTGTCTGAATTGCTGGGGGAGCTCGAAATCGACACCCCTCACGCAGATCCGCGGGGTCAGGGTCCAAAACACACGGGATTTGCACATTTCTGAAATTCGGTGCCACCCCTCACGCAGATCCGCGGGGTCAGGGTCCAAAAACACATGGGATTTGCCACATTTCTGAAATTCGGTGCCACCCCTCACGCAGATCCGCGGTGTCAGGGTCCAAAAACACATGGGATTTGCCACATTTCTGAAATTCGGTGCCACCCCTCACGCAGATCCGCGGGGTCAGGGTCCAAAAACACAGGGGATTTGCCACATTTCTGAAATTCGGTGCCACCCCTCACGCAGATCCGCGGGGTCAGGGTCCAAAAACACAGGGGATTTGCCACATTTCTGAAATTCGGTGCCACCCCTCACGCAGATCCGCGGGGTCAGGGTCCAAAAACACAGGGGATTTGCCACATTTCTGAAATTCGGTGCCACCCCTCACGCAGATCCGCGGGGTCAAGGTCTAAAAACACATGGGATTTGCCACATTTCTGAAATTCGGTGCCACCCTTCACGCACATCCATCGCAAGGCGTGGTAACCCAAACTGCGAGAACTCCCTCGGCCCTTTAATCGCAAGGTGTGGTAACCAAGCCCGTAAACCATACACGTCTTACCAATCGCCAGGTGTGGTAACCCCTCTTGTGATCAGTTGGTTTTGCTGATTGCGAATCGGCTTCGCATGAAGTTTCGATACTGCTTCACGACAGCGCCAAGGCCTCATGACTTAGCTCTTCCATGGCCCATTCTCCGAGAGAGGGGGCCGGCGGCAGGGGGCGAAGCCCTTACGGATAATCCCACCAGCCCTTCAGGGCGTGAGTGGTTTAGGGCGCTTCCTCTTCCAACCCCCCATCTTCCCCTTCGGTGAGGGGTGTGTCACTGTTCCCAATCAAAATAAACACATTCTCTCATAAGTGGCTGGTAGCCAACCAGGACCAACGACAACCCCACCCACCATCCCTGTCAACAAAAACCATACAACTCCGTCCTCATTGCTCCTCCTCCCCCCCACCTCCTTCCCTCCCCTCCTCCTCGTGCCACTTGCTTGATTCCCAACCCTCCGGTGCTGAGCTCTCGTGTTGAATAGCGCACTGTGCTGTCAAAGACTCCTCCTCCCCCTCCCCACCTCCTGCCTCCTGCCTCCTAGTTCCTGCCCACTGTCTCCTGTTCTTTCTCTTCCTCCTCCCTTCTTTCTTTCGTCCTGCTTGCGCCCCTTGGGGGCTGCGAGGTGCGCAACTGTCGCAACGTTCATGGGCTCCTGGGAGGTACCGCGGAGTGGAGATCCACGGGGATCCAGTTGAGACCTCGCGGCTCCCTGGGGGGCTACGAGGTGCGCAACTGTCGCCACATTCGTGGGCTCCTGGGAGATCCCGCGGAGTGGACGTCCACGGGGACCAGGTAGAGACCTCGCGGCTCCCTGGGGGGCTGCGAGGTGCGCAACTGTCGCCACTTTTCGTTGACTCCTGGGAGGTCCCGCGGAGTGGAGGTCCACGGGAACCCATTTGAGACCACCCCTGTCGCCACTTTCGTAGGCTTCTGGGAGGTCCCTGGAGGTCAACGGGGACCCAGTTGAGACCTCCCTGTTACATGGTGGGCTGCGAAATGCGGAACTGTCGCTGCTTTCGTGGGCCCCTGGGAGGTCCCGCGGGGTGGAGGTCCACGGGGACCCAGTTGAGACATCCCGGCTCCCTGGAGGGCTGCGAAGATTGCAACTGTTTCCGTTCGTGGGCTCCTGAGAGGTCGGTCCAGCGGAGTGGAGTTTCATTGTGACCCCGTTGAGACCTCGCGGCTCCCTGGGGGCTGCGAGGTGCGCAACCGTCGTCACTTTTGTGGGCTCCCGGGAGGTCCCGCGGAGAAGACGTCCACGGGGATCCAGTTGAGACCTCGCGGCTCCCTGGTGGGCTGCGAAGACTGCAACTGTCGCCACGTTCGTGGGCTCCGGGGAGGTCCCGCGGAGGGGGGGTACACGGAGACCCAGTTCAGTGAGACCTCGCGGCTCCCTGGGGGCTGCGAAGTGCGCAGCTGTCGCAACTTTCATGGGCTCCTGGGAGGTCCCGCGGAGTGGAGATCAACGGGGATCCAGTTGAGACCTCCATGCTCCATGGGGGGTGGGGCTGCGAAGTGCACAACCGTCGCCACTTCGTGGCCTCCTGGCAGGTCCCGCGGAGTGGAGTTTCATAGGAGACCCAGTTGAGACCTCGCGGCCCCCTTGAGGGGCTGCGACGTACGCAATTGTCGCCACGATCGTGGGCTCCCGGGAGGTCCCGCGGAGTGGAGGTCCACAAAGATCCATTTGAATCCTCGCTGCTCCCTGGAGGGCTGCGAAGTGCGCAACTGTCGCCATGTCCGTGAGCTCCTGGGAGGTCCCGCGGTGTGGAATTCCACGGGGACCCAGTTGAGACTTCGAGGTTCCCTGGGGGGCTGCGATGTACGCAATTGTCGCCACGATCGTGGGCTCCTTGGAGGTCCAGCGGAGTGCAGGTCCACGAGGACCCAGTTGAGACCTCGCTGCTCCCTGGGGGGCTGCGAGGTGCGCAACTGTCGACACTTTCGTAGGCTCCTGGGAGGTCCCGCGGAGTGGAGGTCCACGGGGACCCAGTTGAGACCTCGCAGCTCCCTGGGGGGCTGCAAAAGGCGAAACTGTCGCCACTTTCGTAGGCTCCAGTTGAGACCTCGCGGCTCCCTGGGGGACTGCGAGGTGCGAAACTGTCGCCACTGTCGCCCCTGGTGGGTCCCGCGGAGTGGAGGTCCACGGGGATCCAGTTGAGACCTCCATGCTCCATTGGGGGTGGGGCTGCGAAAAGCCCAACCGTCGCCACGTTCGTGGCCTCCTGGGAGGTCCCGCGGAGTGGAGGTCCACGGGGATCCAGTTGAGACCTCGCGGCCCCCTTGAGGGGCTGCGACGTACGCAATTGTCGCCACGATCGTGGGCTCCCGGGAGGTCCCAGCGGAGTGCAGGTCCACGAGGACCCAGTTGAGCCCTCGCGGCTCCATGGAGGGCTGCGAAGTGCGGAACTGTCGCCATGTCCGTGGGCTCCTGGGAGGTCCCGCGGAGTGGAGGTCCACGGGGACCCAGTTGAGACCTCGCGGCTCCCTGGGGGGCTGCGACGTGCCCAACCGTCGCCACGTTCGTGGCCTCCTGGGAGGTCCAGCGGGGTGCAGGTCCACGAGGACCCAGTTGAGACATGTTGAGACCTCGCTGCTCCCTGGGGGGCTGCGAAATGCGCAACTGTCGCCACTTTCGTGGTCTCCCGAGAGGTCCCGCGGAGTGGAGGTCCACGGGGACTCAGTTGAGACTTCGAGGTTCCCTGGGGGGCTGCGACGTACGCAATTGTCGCCACGATCGTGGGCTCCCGGGAGGTCCAGCGGAGTGCAGGTCCACGAGGACCCAGTTGAGACCTCGCGGCTCACTGGAGGGCTGCGAAATGCGCAACTGTCGCCACTTTCGTGGGCTTCCGGGAGGTCCCGCGGAGTGGAGGTCCACGGGGGCCCAGTTGAGACCTCGCGGCTCCCTGGGGGGCTGCGAAGTGCCCAACCGTCGCCACGTTCGTGGCCTCCTGGGAGGTCCGGCGGAGTGGATGTCCACGGGGACCCAGTTGAGACCTCCATGCTCCATGGGGGAGGCTGCGAAATGCGCAACTGTCGCCACTGTCGTGGGTTCCTGGGAGGTCCCGCGGAGTGTGGCCCTGCTCTCTGCCACGTTCGTGGGCTTTCGGTTTTTCGCGAGGCCCTGCCCTTTGCCACGTTCGGGTCCTGGGTGTTTTTCGTTTCCTTCGTAGCCGCGTTCTTGTGTATCCACTTTTCGGGCGTCTGATTGCTTGCACTCTCAAATGCTCCCTGCGCGCTGTAGGTGTTTCAACAATTTCGTTTGTATTGCGCGGTCCTGTATGTGCAATCGCCTCATGTTTCCATCGGGTTAGGGCGCGTCTCCGGGATTTGTTCCCGACAAGGACGGCGGGGGGGTATTAGATCGCCTGCTGCGCGCAGGGCCACTAGTCGTGTCAGCAAACAATGCAAGATGCACTTCGCGGCTAAGCCTTGATGATGCACGTCCACCTCGCGAAAACTTTATATTGGTTCTGGGGAAAAACATCGGGGGTGTTGGCATATTGCCGGCTGTGCGCAGGCCCACCAGACACCATGATGGCCACCCCGTGGCAATTCTGCATTCGTTTTCGATATGGACAGCGGTGGTCGACATGTTCCCCGATGTGTGTTGTCACGTCCGCGGGCGCACCTGGCGCACTCTGCGCGTGCCCCGAACGTGGCGCACATGGCGCGGATGGATCACGCTGTGCACATGGCGCACGTGGGGCACGTGGCGCATCTGGCGCGCCAGGCGTGCCGGGCACGCTTTGGCCCCAAGGGTGCCTGGCGCACCCAGCGCGCCTGGCACGAGCGGCGCACCTCGCCCCAACATCGCGCACACGGGGTCTGTTTTTGGTTCCCAGTAGTTGTCCATCCATAGCTGACCACTGAACATGCTGAGGCTCGGGTGCTACCGATGTAATGGGAGGGCCACTGGGGGTGAGCGGGACAACGCGCGGGCGGGAGAGGACTGTTGTTTACCAGTATACACCCCCTCCCCCAGGCGACCGGCGGCCAACCAGGAACCGTCCACCTCCCCAAACACCCTTGTCAACACAACACAACAAACACGACACAGAACGCGCTCTGCCTCCACATGTGGAACATGCGCGGCCAACCCGATGCGCCCGCCCCCACCATCTGTCAACAAAAACCATACACTTCGGGGCAAATCTTGAATCATGTTCGTGGGGCCCGCGAGCACTCTGTACGGTTTCGGACAGGGACGGCGGGCGGGTGAGCATACTGCCTGCTGCGCGCGGGGCCACCATCCCTGTCCAGAACCATACATTACTCACTGCGTAGAGCTCCCCATATGCGCGAGCGTCTAGCCATATGAGCGATATGTGCATCTCACGTTGTAAGATGGTGCCTTGGTGAGCATCTGGCTATGATCGTATTGATCTAACAGCGCGTCCATGTGAGCGACGAGCACACGCGCGCGCAGCTCGGCTGTACATTCAACACATGTGCACATTCATTCGCATGCATATGTAGCGCATGTGCTGCCAAGGCAAAGAATTCCACTGGCACCGCGTCCAGAACACCAGGGAAGAGCACGAAAGACAAGTGCTTCGAATGGCACCTCGCGATAAGCTCCTCAGCTTAAACCGTCCGCGCTTCGCATCGGGCCTAGCTGGCAACGCACACTGAAGCCGTAGGCACATGGCGTGCATAAGGCAAGTGCTACAAATGGCACCCTCGCGGTTTGCGCCTCGGCTTTGGCCGTCCGCACTTGGCACCGGGCCCAGCTGGCACAAAGGGTGTTGAGCCACAAAACAAGCGAACTGCCTGAGACATCCCAAAAAAACTGGCCCAGGACGCCCCAATAAGACTCTAAGAAACTCTCTAAAGAAACCCGAAGAGACTCCGAGAGGCATCCAAGAGGCATCTGGCCTTTCTGCTCGACCTCCTTTTCCTCCTCCTCCTTCTCCTCCTCTTCCTCATCCGCCTGTTCCTGCTCCTTACCTCTCCCTCCTCACCCTCCCGCTCTCCTTACTCTTCCTCCTCCTGCTCCCCCGATTTCTCCTCCATCCTCCCCCCTCTTGGGGTACGACGTCTTACCCAGCTCGCTATTCCACTGCAATCTCCTCCACATTCCTGATCACGGCAGCTCGTCTGGGCATCGTTTCTGGATGGACTGATGGGGTTACTTTTTTCCGTCGCGGCCGCAGGCGAGCACGCCAGCAGCGTCAGAGGTCGGGCGGGCTACGCGCAACTCATGGGGTTATGCGAAGCGTCTAGAATTCCAGAAGTTTCTGGAGGCACTCTTCCTCCTGGAGGAGTTGGAGAGGAAGGGCAAGGAGTGATGTGGAGGAAATGCTGGGGGCCTGCGAGCGAGCGGAAGGGGAAGGTATGGAGGAGGTGGAGGAGGAGGAGGAGGAGCAGAGAGAGAGAGACAGAGGAGGAGGAGGAGGAGGAGGAGGAGGAGAATGCTGCTGCTGCTGCTGCTGCTGATGATGATGATGATGATGATGATGATGATGATGATGATGATGATGATGATGATGATGATGATGATGATGACGAGGAGGAGGAGGAGGAGGAGGAGGATGTGCGGGAGGAGGAGTGTGATAGGAGGAGTAGAAGGGGGGAGGGGGAGGAGGACAGTGGAGATGGGAAGAAAGGATGAGGATGAGTAGCAGGAGCAGGAGAAGAGGGGGAATGGCTTGCAGGATCCTGCAGGCTTTGGTGGGATTCCTCGTTGGACATCGTGGGAAATGATTTAGTGGTTCCTTAAGGGTTTTGGGTGTGCCGCTCGTGGAGGCCTGAGCAGTGGATATTGATGAGCTCCATCACTCCGCAGTAGAGCAGCTGATCCATCACCAGCTTGCTGGTGAACTTGTTCTTGACTCGCTCCTGGTTGGGCTTGATGCATCGCACGAAGTGCGGTTGCGCCTCGTCGAGCTTCGTCATAAGCTCCGCCAGGGACTCTCGGAAGCGCGAGCAGACGGTGTTCGTTTTCTTCTTTCCTCCGCGAGGGGTTGCAGCGCCGTCCAATTGCGCGGCGAGCTTGTTTCCGATGTCGCTCAGCACCGACACTCTGGAGTTCTGCAGATACTCTATCGTTTCAGCGGGAAGCTTGTCGTCGTTCTTGGCCATGAACCCCTCGCAATCGTAGTCCACCTCGCCTGCGAAGTGCCTGACAACGAACTTACAGCCGCCGAACTTGTTCTTCACAAACATGCCAGTATCTGCGTATGTCTTGACAACTTTGCCTACAAATGTCATGTCCGTCGCCTTGGCGATCTTCAGCTCCTCGTCAAGTATGCCAAAGATCCGCCACCATGCCTGGCGCCACGTACTGGAGTGCTGGGGCACCCCAAAGCTCGTACAGTTGGGGGAAGTAGAGGGTCTGTGGGGTTCTGGTACGCCTGGACAAACGCGACGGGCCAGAAGGCTTGGTCGCTCCGCGGGTGTGCCACATTGGCCAAATTGCTGAAAACATGTTCAAGTGTGCATTTTGCTGTGTGGCCTCAGAGGGTGCTCAGGGCCTCTCCCACCGAAGACGAGCAGAATACCCCCCGGAGCCCAAAGACACGGTGGCGGCATAGGCCAGCGGCCACTAGATACCAGGCTCTTTAGGCTGCTTGGTGGTGTTGCCGTGGATCATGTCGATGATCGGCTGGTTGTCCTTGAAGCTGAAATCACTCACATCCACATCCAAGCCCTCATTTTTGTAGTGCTCAAGCTCCATGTCGAAGAAGAAGGCATTGAAGTGCCTCTGCAGCTTCTCGTTGCACAGGTTGATGAACATCTGCTCGAGAGAGTTTTTCTCCAAGCTCTCGAACCCAGCCATGTCCAGCATCCCGAGGAAATCCAGCTGCTGCGCCTGGTCTGGAGGCATGCCTCCACTGAGGGCGGCGTTGATCTTTTCGATGAGCCACTTGAAAGTGTTGCCGTATATCAGCCGCGTGACTGCGTCCCGCCTCGCGGTCGCCTGGGCCACGGTACAAGGCTTGTCAATAACCTGGCCAGCGACGCTCATCCTCGCCGACAGCAGCGAGCTCTTCAGTTTATCAGAGTCCACGCCGAGTACATCAGCCGCGGGACCTAGCGTGCTCTCATCCTCTAGGGTGCATGAATCTGCGTCGACCTCCTTGAACGTCACGTTACCGAGGTTCAAGATGCCCACCATCACTTTGAAGATGTCCATTTGCAGCTCCGGGGAAAACTTCAGAGTGTCGAAGGCCTCCAGAAGCTCGGCCTGATTTGTGTCGTCATTGATCTGCTCAACCTTATGCAGCCCCTTCAAATATTTGTAGTCCTTCGCTGGGCGAATTTTCAGAGGCTTCATTAGTTCCTTCTCTCTGTGCTCTACCAGCTGGTAGAAGATGTGATAATTGCGTTCTGTGGCCGAGCGCCCGCAGACACGCGTCAGCTCAAGCACGTAGTCGACAATGAAGCAAGCGCTGATGGCATGCCTGTCGTCGACGGCGATCTGCATCCACTTCCCGAAGCGGGACGAGTTGTCGTTCCTGCACGGGCCGGGCCTCCTCCTCTTCCGCCGCCCCCTCCCACGACTTCTCCCTCTGCTGCTCCTCCTCCTCCTCCGCCCCCCTCCCCTTCCTCCTGTCCCTTCCTCTCGCCTCTCCGCGCAGTGCCTGCCTGTGCACAGGACTTCAGGAATTATGGTTTCCTCTGTGCTTGACCCTCCAATCGGCTGCACGCAGGAGAGACCCTGGGTAAGTCAAGTGGCCCGGGGTCACACAAATAAATACACAATAGCAGGATCCCCCATATTTTCCTATATTGTCTGGGCTTTTGTCTTCCCCCCCACTTCCCATCTTTTCGAATATTTTCTGGGAAATCGACGATTAATTGTGTCTGTTTGTTTTTTCCCTCCTGAGTAAGAGTGACCTTTGGTGCGCGGTTCTTGGGGCGCCGCGGGGGTGCCAACACACAAGCGCGCAAGACGCTACCACTGCATCACGTTCGGCGATCGGGGGACCCCATTAGCAAGGGCTCCCAACTTCGCGCTTCGCGCTGCGCGAAGCGCGAAGTGCGAACGACTGCGCGCTCTCGCGCCGCCTCCCAGGGGAGAAGGGGAGGATGAGGAGGAATCGGAGCCGAACCGCGACGCGCGAATGACTTCGCGCCCTCGAAGGCGCCCTTGCCAAAGGCCACTCCGGCGGAAGGTCACTCTTGCGTGTAGCCGATCCGATTGCCCTCGAAGGCTAAAAAGTGCTGCTCCCGCTGCAGCGTCGGCATCATTATCGGGTCCGCGCCCTGCTCCCGCCGCTCGAGATGGCGCTCTCGCCCTGGCGCGGGGCACCCTTCTGGAGCCAGGCCCTTGTCCATCGTTCCTGCCCCCATCGTTTCTCCTCCTCCTCCTCCTTCTCATTCCCCTCGTCCTCCTGCTCCTCCCACTCCTCCACTCCAGCTCCTTGCTGCTGCTGTTCATCCTCCTCCTCCTCCAGTTCCGCCCTCATCCTCCATGTCCTCCTGTTCATCCTCCTGCTCATTCCTCCCCCTCATCTTATGCAGATAACTCCCATTTTCAATTAACTACGCGGAACACGATGGGGTCTTTGGGGGAGTTCCAGGTCCTCTATGACACACGTCCGCGGATAGAAAAAGCAGTGCAACGGTAAGGGATGGGGGGTAGGTGTAAGACGTCAGCTATGACGCGAGCGCACCTAGCTTGTCGCTTCCACCTCTTTCTTCATTATCATCCTCCGCCCCTCCTTCATTCTCGGTCTGCTCCTTGTGCCGCCCCTTCCCCATCTCCCCTGTGTCGGCGGTGAGCGAGGGGTGGGGGAGTGAGAAGGAGAAGGCCGTCTCAGAAAGCGACGGGACTTTTCAGACACCCTCGCGACTTCTAAGAAGTTTTCTATGCTTCCGGGGAAAACACAGAAAACTTCTCAGCAGGCTGGAGGACGTCAAAGTCTTCTGAGCAGGCCGCCCCTTCCCACTTCCCCCCCTCGCTCGCGGTCGAGCTTTGTTTTCGGGTCATATATCTGGCCTCCGGCGGCCGCTCGGGACGATCCGGGCACCCCTGGAACGCTCTCGGCGAGGCGCATCTGTTGGAACGCATCCCGAGGCCAGGAAACCGCCGCGAGCCAACGAAAACGCCAGAACCTCCGACTTTGGTCCACCCCATCCCCTTTCTATTTCTCTTCCGCCCCCCACGGATCGATCGCCAGATTTGTCCCGGACTTCGTTCTGGCCAGGACCTCGGGCGGAGCCAAGCCGTGCTGACGAGAGGCCTTGCGCAGGACGCAGGCACAGACGAAGGGAAGCAGAGGAGCAGGATGGAGGAAGGATGGCGAAGGATGAGGTGGAAAAGAGGGACAGAAACAATGAGGGAGGAGAAGGGGGAGGAGGAGAAAAAGAATAAGAGGAGGAGGAGGAGGAGGAGGAGGACGAGAAGCAGGAGAGGTGGAGATGACGAAGTTTGTGGTTGGGAAGAGGGAGTGGGAGCGGGAGAAATGAGACACATGAGAGAAAAGGACAGGTGAACAGGCGTGACGAGGGAGAACGGATAGGAGGAGGAGGAGGAGGAAAACGGATAGGATAGGAGAAGGATAGGAGAGGGAGGGAGGGCGGAAGAGGAGGAGAATGAGGAATGGGACAGCTGACATGTGAACCTGCTGGAGTCCTCGAGACCGCTTGAACCATTCAGAATGGGTTCCAATTCTGACATGTGCGACGCGTTCCGCCTGAGAACGTGTGAATATATCCGCGGAGCTTCCTGTCCCTTGACGCGGCCGCAGCTCATCGGCTCCTCAGAAAACAAATCAAACGGCCGAAGGTTTGAGATGGCCATGCCCGTTTAAGTTCACGGCTTCGGGTTCCTCTCAACTCTGTTGGTGAGTGCA